TCATACAATTAAAACTGAAACTATCCTTTAGGCGACTGGTAGAGTAGGTTTGTTGGAAGCACTACAGCATTCTTTCCACAAAAAAAAAATGACTATTAACGATTCAAATAAATACAATAAATAAATAAATAGACAATTTCTAGTATAACACTAATTACTTTGGAAAGACTTGCGCCGATTAAATAATTTCAGAAGGTATGCCTGTTATTTATACTAACTGATATCGTTATTATCCATTAAAATATTATTAAACTCATAACATATTTTTATTTGCATATAATTAATTACGTCTAGAAGGCTAATGTCACATAATGAGACACGTAAATAACTAAATAAAAATAAACATTTTTGAACACGACTAGCAGAAAGGAATTTTTTTTATTATTAAGGTGATCATCTTTCTTGGATTTGATTAAATTTTTTAATGTTTAAAATAAAACTCACCGACAGTTTTTAACATCTCTGATTTGTGTTAGGAACCAGGTCAGTTGTTACAAACAATGAGAACAATAGAGAAAAGTTCCCTTTTTTACTGAACAATCTGTATATATTTCTCTATGAAACAGTGGCACAGCCAAAGAGACTGAAAATAGTACTTTAAGACAAAAATTTTAAACAAAAGAAAGGTTACCAAAAATGATATTTATTATTAATTAATTAAAAATATTTCTGGTTAAGAACACTGCNAAAATGATATTTATTATTAATTAATTAAAAATATTTCTGGTTAAGGAAATATTTTCGAAAATCTTGTTGTCAAAAATATTCAAATAATTCACAACACTAGTTATAATAAATGTATTTTCAATTAGAAATCAAATTTAAGTAACAGTTACTTTGAATTTAATTAAAATTACATATGACTAATACTTTGTTGCAAAACTTTCATCTGACAAATTTATGTATTCGTGCATAATGCATTCATTGGACTCCTACATCAACATAAGTTTTTAAGAGTCATCCATGTCGATGACACCAATAGTGGCATAATTGATGCAAAGGTTAAAAATTTGTTATACAACAATTTTATATGAATCATTTGACGTAATATTTGTATGTAAATAATACACTTGTTTACAGATAACTATGCCATGACTAAGTCTGCTTACTGGACAGCCTTGATTCGAACTGTGCGTTTAGTGATAACTTATTAAAGCAGCCCAATTCACGATTGGCTATCAGTGTCATCGTGTTGTAGTCTTATAAAAAAATTCTTTACAATTGAGAGGTAAGAATGAAAATTTAATTTATTCTTTTGCCTAAACTTAAAAATATACTTGTCAAGTATTATTCTGATGCACTTTACTAAATATAAATTGCATGACATATTATTTCGATTGTTATATATATATATATAATAAATAATTTCAAACTCAAATGTTTTTTAATATTTTTACTGTGGATAATTATCTTGTAGATTCCTAGTAATTGGAATCATGTTTAAAAAAATGAGATTAAGTACTTATAAATTAATAATATTATCCCCATTTAAAATATATTTTTAATTATATGTAATTAATCTGAAATGCATACACACATTCATTTAGTTTTTAGTTATATAGTGAAAGAATCAACGACCAATGAAAGGCATTCATAATTATTTCAATTTTGTGTAATTAAATAGGAAAAGATTCGCGATTAATAACCGATGAAACTATTCTTTATTGTAATATTAAAAACCTTTATACGACTTCTTTATAATTTTTACGACGGGTACGTTTAAAAACAACTTTTTGACTCTCCATGAAAGTATAAGAAATAAAAGATCCGTTTATAGAAAGTCCACAAGAAACAGTTTCACCAAACTGTCGCTTTCGGTAATGTGGCGAAAGTCGATCGATCATCTGTAGCTTGTCGTTTACACCCGCACCACCGCAGGGGTTATTATTCGGCTAGCCAGAATATAAAGACTGTATATTGCTTTCTACAAAAACCAGCCCCGAAAGTCGCTATAGAGTTATATTCCCTTTATCTTGATCACTATTGCATTTTTTTAAGTAATTAAAAAAATAACCATCGTCAGTTTTATCTGTGGTTTCATGTGGTACACAAAGTGATTGTTTAACTATGACTCATGCAATAATTTTTTAAATTATTAAACATAATGTAATTGTTTCTTTTTAAAAGTTGTTAATATACTACGTTCTATAATTTTCAAAAAAAACTTTGGTTCTAACCCCTTCTTCTCTCTTAAATTTTTGTTTTTTTTGTCAAATGAAAGATATATGTTTAATTGGCTTAAAACAAATCTAATTAAAGATATGACAACAACGTTTCGATCGAAAAGATATTAGCATTTTTATACCAAGGCTGGAAGAATAGTGTGGTTTGTAAATGCTTAGTGATAAAAATAAACAGGCCCGCGCTTTACTTGTAGTCTTTATATTAAAGGAAGCTTCACCCCTACCTTCCACAACCATGATTTTATGTTGATTTAGGTGGGGGTTTGAACATCGTAGTTCCCTCGTTAATATGTCACTTATCTTCCTTAATATATTTATAAATAAAAATAATGTTTATTTATTGAGAAAGACAAATTAATAGCTCACGCATTAAGACAGCCTCCTAAAATATTAAGCCCTAGAGAACTGCATTGTCTGCAAAGTATAAAATACAGCTCTGCAAATATCTTATATTTTTTTGTATTTTTTACCTTTTCAAAACCATTTGGACGACACAATTAACAAAAAATACTTATATCATAAGTATTTGTATATATTAGAAAAATATTTTATTTATAAAAGTTTATATCAATAGTATAAGAAAATAATTATTATGTCGCTCACTGAGAATTTATCAAAAAATGTACTGGTAGGTTAGGTTGATAAAAACAACAAAATTGCAAGTAATTTAAAGCGTTTTGTATATAATCGGAATATGTGTAGGCCCGTAATTAGGGTGTGACTCATTAAATTTAAAGGAGCAAATCATAATATTAAGACGCGATAACTACAAATAATGTCAATATACAGTTTATAAATTATTTTTTATAATATTGTTAGTTTTTCATCATAAGTATTGATATTATTAACAACAATAATCACAAAAATGAAAAGATTAATTAAATTTTTCTATATGGTATACAATAATTGCTAACTTTTATTTAAATACGATTATCAAATTGTATTCTTCTCGGCTAAGCGGTGTATGAAGTGCGATAATTATTTATTATAAGTTTTATGAACATTTTTTAAAGACTTTTTTTCATCAATTTTTTTTTAAAGAGTGACTGAAGAAATTTGGAGCCCAAAATTCATTTCACCAGACCAAACTAAAGTCATTAATGCGGCTCTGTGTTTCTGTAAAAATATATTTTAATTACTTGAAGTAATAATCCGTAATGGTTGGATCTAATTAATTTAGAATTAACTACGATTTAATGTTGCACAAATAATTATAAAAGACTGTATTATTATAATAAATATAATATTCAAAAAAATAACTACATAGAACATTTTCCGATGAAATATTTCTTAAAAAAGATACACAGTATCATAGTGTGATTTCTTTAAACATTTGTAAACACGCTATTCTATATTCAATTATTTTTCAGGAATGTTCTGTCTTAAAAATTTGTAACTGCAAAAAAAATAAGCGTAGTTACTTTGTTGAATTACTTGAAAAAAAAACTATAATATCTATTAAGGTATATTTATAAAATGGCTTATTATTAAATAATAATATACTACTTGTCTCAAATATTTTAAAAATTTTTTGATAAAAATCAATGTCAATATATTTACAATTCAAATGATGCTAACTTCATCAAATCTAAAATTGTTGTTATAAACAAAAAAAGTTTTGCGAGTGAATTTTATTTTTTCTTTTAATGATTAAAATTAAAGAATTCTACTACCTATAATACTTACAGCACAATATGACCAATAGTGTAATCGTATGTGAGCATAATCAATTTGTGAAATTTGAGAGCTTTTGAATGAGAGAAATGATATTTCAAAATTATACATCATTTTATTAATACTTATTAAGTAAATCATTAAAATTTTTAATTGAGTCTAATTAAGTTAGTTTTAAACCTAAAAACACCCATTGGATAAACATAGTTACATAATAAAAATTAGTTAGTTCAATTATAATTGATCAAAAGAATTTCATTAATATAAAAAACAATTATTTTTTATATAACTAGTTATAATTCAGTTTTTTAACAGAAAAACTAGAAATAGTAACTACTCTGTAGTGTTGATGGTAATTTTTTTTTAACTTTTAACTTATTTAAAATACTGCATAAAGATTCCCTCGTGTCATTTGAATTTTCACGGCAACTATGGCAATTATTATATTATGCCTAAGCAACAAAATTATATTTAATGTAAAAGAAATTATACTACTAACTTTGAACTTTGTACGTGTTTATATAATTAGAACCTTCATATTTTCATAGATGTTCTTTAAATTAATGTCGTGTTTCACGTATAATTTATTATTTATGCAAAATATTGGTAAATATTAATACACTAAAACATAAATGAAACACACATATTTATATTAATAACAATTTATTTGTTAAATGTATTTTTTATTTCACGTATACTTAAATTGATGTTATTAATATTGAACATCATAAATATTTTTATTTTAATAATTACTTTAGTCACAATTAAGATTATTATAATAAGCGAGTGTACTAATTGTATTTATTGAGCCTGTTCTTTATTCACGGGTAACTGTATCATCTAAATTATAGAATAAATTCACTAGTGGTAGTATAACTATAGTGAATATTGTTGTTACTATTATTGATAATCGTAATCTTCCTCTAATGGATACGACAGTGAAAGTGAACGGCTAGGCGCATGCGTGTTAATAATAATGATGAAAAAAATCTTGGATGCGTTATATAGTGAGCACCACCTATGTATTATTATGGTTATAATCCATAAAAAAAGGTGGAGGCGGTGATGGCGAAAAGAACACTCGTTGGGAGGAAAAGCGGTATTCCCCCACCGTTACGGTATTATATATTTTTCTCTCACGTCACAGGCAAAATAGGAGACTAGATTGTGGTCAAGAGACTTGAACGTCGGCTGCACAGTTGGCAAGTAGTTCTTCATTACACAAGCCCACACGCAATAGCGATGACGGGAAAAGCTGCTGTAGTCATTGCACTATTGTGCCTATTCCAGGATTTACAAAATTGTAAGTATCATCATTATTTATTAAGGGTTGTAGATAAAATAAAATACAATATTATATTTGAATTAATAAAAAAAGATATTATTTAAACCAATCTTAAAATTATTTATCTATCAAATATTTAGTCGACATGATAAAATATTGCATATTTATTGGTATAAATCGATTAAAGATGTTGAATGTTATGGGTTTTTTAAACGTTTTTTTTTTTTAAATTATATATTTTTAACTTTACAAAACTATAAAAATTTACTATTATTTCAAATAACACTAAAGTAAATATTAAAAAAATATTATACACTAGCTATTATTAGAACATTTAACACTTTAGTTTTTTATTACACTTCCCTTTTAATTGAAAAATACGATATTACTTTTTGTTACGCATTGTTGTATGGAAACCTCAGGCGAGGCCAATCACATGAGAATAAATACAAAAGAAAGCAACCTATGAAAACCACAAGTGTTGTAATAGTCTGCTAAATAAAATCAGTTTATGTGCAATAAACCAATTTTATTTAAAAACAGCATAGTATAACAACATATATATAATTATAAGAAATAAATTTATTGAATTCGTGTAAAAGATAGTTCATAATACACATGCATTACGCAAAATCTGCAAAACAAGGAAAGATTTAGTGTGATATACTAAATTTTAGTAAATTAATATTTCAATAGAGAAAACAAAATTTGTTTGTGATTTCGAATATTTAATGATCATATATGATTTTAAAGACATATTTTGATTTTGAAATATCACTTAAGTAATCATAAATCATGTATTTATATACTTTTTTTTTTTTTGACGCTGATATTTACATTTTATCAGCTTAGTTGATAAGCCTTATAAGAGTTTAACTAAGAACATTAAATGTTTTATAATTATTGAAGTCTACATCGAATTACTTTTAAAATTACAAAATCAATTAAACTCATAACAAAGCTCTCTACGTAAATGTTGTAATTTTTAGTCAAATGTGATAACCGCTCACATCCTTTATGGTTCACGCGAATGGATGTTTCTTTTATCATCATAATAATATTTAAGCACTATGATGATTTCTCTTAAACTGATTAAATGTCGTATATCTACCACGATTTTCAATGTACCTTTTACTCGTTTTAGGTCTGCTATTTCCGAGCAATGGCCTCAGCAGAAGTACGTGACTTGGCCAATTGCCTGACTTGACGTTAGAGTTTATATTAGTTGTATAAAAAAAAATCGTAGAATTCTAACGCGGCCCTTAGAATATGGTTTACGCGTTAAAAACACATACATGATTTATATTCGGACGTGTACTGCGTATTCTTTCCTTTTTTTAATACTTTTTAAAATTTATATTAGTTAAATGACTGTTATCAACTAACAGTGTCAATTAGTTCTCAAGTTTATCAGTCTCTAAACTTATTACAGTGATCGCCATAGTCAAAAAACTTCATAGAGTTATATATATTTATGTTCATAGGTACAATCTGGGGGTGTAGAGGGTAATTAACTCCTCCTATTTCTGTCACTTAAAATTTATATAGAAGTATTTTTAAGGAGGGGAGAGATTAAGTTAGATCCCCAAACATGTTGATCAAATTGCGTCTATGGTTATGTTTATATTACATTTGTTTATAGGTAATGGCTTCATCGCTCCGAGAGAAAAACGTCAAGCTGCAGAAGCTGATGAACCGTCTGTAGACGAATTATGCAAAAACCGTCCAGCTGACGAATATTTCCGTCTGACTACTGAAGGAGATTGCAGAGACGTCGTCAGGTATAAGAGAGATCAATTCTTATATAACTTATCGTAGTTTTTATGTAAATCGTCTTCTACTTAATTGTTTTTGATAACACATAGGTGAGTTCACTGATAGTTCATGGTTGGTTTTCAGATTAAAACCTCATATCTCATTGTTACAATATGTTAAAATAAAAGTAAAAGTAAAAAGTAAAAACCGCCCGACCTGTTTGCTTTCACTTTTTACGCGGCCAACTCCTATATTCTTATATTTAGTTAACACAACATACACTAATGACAGTCGGAGTAGGTATCAAACTTTAATGGCAATATTACGCCCTAGTTTTTACTCTCAATTTTTTTGTACCGAATTTGCCAGAATTCTATTCTAATAGTTATACTACCACTTAAACCTTAATTGCATTGTTACGACCAATGGCAATTTTATCGTAATTGTATACCTTTCGCCCATAAATATTCATATATATTGTATATTTTATGGTTGATTGATGCCCCTAAAATAGGTGTGACCAAGCTGGCGAGAACGGTATTGTCCGTCTCGCAGGCGTCCGATGTCCTCAAGGATTAGGTTTTGACATTGAACGTCAGACTTGCGATTGGAAAACTCGTGTGAAAAATTGTGACAAACTAGATAGTAAGTATAACGAAGGGTTATGTTAAGCCTGTGGGTGCGGTTGTGTGCAATATTATTTTAAATGTTTATCCGGATGTCATCTAATACAAGCGTTTACTTTTATTAATATTATACGATTTCCCATCGCCTGAAATTCATCCAACATCGCCACTAATTAAACAAATTACTATACCTAAACATGCATACATACAAAATGTGCTAGTTTCCGTGTATCTGTAACTAACAAGGCTTAACATAAAATAAACATGTTGTCATTAAATACATCAAATATAGGGTACATCAACTATTAATTAAATATTACAGTGGTGTTTACTTACATGAATCTTGTTGCATCTATTTTTATTTTTGCTAAAATTAATCAATATTTCAGCATATCATCGTTTGTTATTACAATAATAATAAAGTGAAAAATTAAAGTGACCATTTTTAACATTAAAACACTGCATGAACGCATTTTGTCCCTCAGGTGTACTAAAGCCGGTATTATACAAATCACTTGCCCGTATGGTTTGGCGTTCGACATAGATAAGCAGACGTGTGATTGGAAGGGTAAAGTCACCAACTGTAACCGTTTGGACAGTAAGTGGCAATATTTCGATGGATTAGAGGTGAAGGACTAGAGAGTGTGATGTGATTTTGTAAATTTTATAGTGTTGTACATCAAGTAGAATGTAAAATAACTAAGAGTAGTTTGACAAAACCTGTGCACCAAACACAGGTAGGCTTCAGTTAGAACCTTCTAATGTAACACTTATAATATGCCGGCGTCAATGAGTGTGTATTGATAATTTAAAATATACACGAATTACTTCTTTACTAACACAAACACTGTTGACAGTGTATTGCTATATTACGATTATTAACTGCACTACTAATAATTAATTATTAAGTTAAAACAAATTTTAGCTATTAAAAGCCACTGAATATTAAACATAACACTAATATAATAGCGAATTCATTACTAAAAAATTATTTATACTGTTATACTGAGTATAAAGCTATACATTGATAACTGCCGATTGTGAGATTTTAAAAAAATATACAGAAAACAATAAATTATCAAAAAATCTACCTCTTATATGTTATACAAAGTGTCCCACGTTGTTCTGAAAAATCCACAAGTTTTCTTGTGGAAAATTAGAACATCGTGGGATACTATAAAGTATTTTATTTATGATCATTGCATTTATAACTTCATTATAAAAGCTGAAGTTTTTAATAATTTTTTATGCTTTTTGTGAATGCAAAACTTATTATATGTATGCTTGACTAATTTTCCCTAAAAAAATTATACAACGGCTTTTGTGAATTAGATGCTTTTAATAATTAGTGGTTAAATAGAGATATCTTGTTTATTCTGCATACATAGCACATTTCACACTTTTTTTCCACTGCTTCCAGCAGGTAAGAAACCTTTAGTTATCGAACACTACTTTCTTATCTGCGAAAATAAAAAAATAACTTAACACATCGCTGTTTGCATAGTATAACTATTAACATTAATTTATTGGGTTGCTGTATGAAAACGCTTCAATTTTTTTTTTCAATAGAATCACAAACGATCTTTGCATTTTTTAATAAATTAATTGTATTTTTATCATCATAATATTTATGGAACAATGTCATTAAATTACATTAAAATTTTTAAATAATTTAGCACTAAAATTTTATTAAAATTAATAATAAAAATGTTTATAAAGCGGAATTTTTTAAATTAATTATGTGTGCTTTATACACACAGACTATTTAATTCATATTATATACTATGCAATAGTAAAAATGTATATTTAATGACTTTTCCATAAATAAGGTTACATTGTCAAATCTTTAAAAGAAATACTTAATCTCTATAACTTTTTAGAACCCAGAAAGGCTTTACCAAATTTGAAGACAGATGAACCTGTATGTCCAAAAGATCAACTTCAATGTGGAAATGGTGAATGTATTAACAAAGATCTGTTCTGTAATGATAGACCCGACTGTAAAGATGAGTCTGATGAAAACGCTTGCAGTAAGTATTCGAGTTCATTATTTCTATTTTTTTTGAACATTTAATAACCTTTGAATATGTTAGTATATAATTATTATACTTTATAAGTATAGGAGGAAAAACTTTTCGCAATGACTGTAAAAATAAAAAGTAAAGTACAGTAGGAATCCAGTAAAGTGGATACGACAGTTTATAGATTAGTATTGCTTGATAACTAACTTTTAGCATTTTATGCCAATTGTTTTTTTTTTCAAAACATTTCCCTTTATTTACAAAGATAAAAGGAAATTTTTGATATATCTTCGAAGAAAGTCTATGCAATAGGAACGGAGTAATCGTGTTTAGTGAAACAAAAAAAACTCAACAGAGTAAAATCAATAGCTTTTTAGTTATGTGTCGAAAATAAAAGTTACGACATTTAACCATTTGTAACTACTGAAAATCGGTTAAAATTTGACAATTTTTAAATATTGTAGAAAACCTTTAAAAATTCTTGAAATAATAATCGTACAAATTTAAAATTTTTGTTTATTAGGTGTGGAAACTGATCCTAATCGTGCACCAGACTGCGACCCTATCCAGTGCGTTTTACCCGATTGCTTCTGTTCAGCTGATGGAACCCGAATTCCAGGAGGATTGGAACCCACACAGGTAAATTTATTTATTAAAGTTACGCTAATAAAATATAATCTCAATAAATATCTTAAATATATGATAAACAACAACTTGATTCTTCAAAAGTACTTATTGTTTCGTATTAAAAATCGCAGGTACCCCAATTGATCACCATCACTTTTAACGGTGCTGTCAACGTTGATAATATGGATCTTTACGATGAATTGTTTTCCGGTACACGTATGAACCCCAATGGTTGTCAAATCAAAGGTACATTCTTTGTGTCACACAAATACACCAACTATGCCTTTGTCCAAGAGTTACACCGCAAGGGCCATGAAATCGCTGTATTTTCGTTAACGCATAAGGACGATCCTAAATATTGGACAGGAGGTTCTTACGATGACTGGTTAGCCGAGATGGCTGGTGCTAGGCTTATTACTGAAAGATTTGCCAACATATCTGACGGTTCAATTGTTGGTGTCCGTGCACCTTACTTGAGAATTGGAGGAAACAAACAGTTTCAGATGATGGAACATCAATTCTTTGTGTACGACGCTTCCATCACCGCGTCATTAGGTCGAGTACCAATTTGGCCATATACTCTATTCTTCAGAATGCCACACAAGTGTAACGGTAACGCTCAAAACTGCCCTAGTAGGAGCCATCCCGTATGGGAAATGGTTATGAACGAATTAGATAGACGAGATGACCCCACCTTTGACGAATCTCTACCCGGTAAGTTATAGATAAGTCAATACACAAATGCCATGCTATAAATAGTAATGATTACGTTTAACATTATTATAAAGTAACACTTTATTTTACTTTATTTAGGTTGTCACATGGTCGACTCGTGTTCGAATATCCAAACCGGTGATCAGTTCGGTCGTATGCTGAGACATAATTTCAACAGGCATTTCAACACTAACCGTGCACCTTTAGGATTACATTTCCATGCTTCGTGGTTGAAAAGCAAAAAGGAATTCAAAGACGAATTAATTAAATTTATTGAAGAAATGTTGAAGAGAAATGACGTATACTTTGTCAATATGTTACAGGTATATTATATATGAAGCACTAATGCAATAAAGAAACCAGGGGCGATTTTATAGTGGGGCATTGTCAAACTTCCTAAATTATATTTAAGACATTCATGGTCGGTACTTTTAAAATATATTGTGAACTCTTTTTACTCTTTAAAGTAATTTAGTCGATAAATTCAATTTTACCACCAACAGTTGGCAAAATTCACTCCACACCTTCCTAAAAAATAATTAGTAGGATCCTATTGAAGGGAATATATCAACATTTTTACAGACCCTTGTTTACATTCATTAAGTACATTGTTCTGTAATTATGTAATATTTTTTACATAGTAAAATAGATTAAATGCATAGTTGGAAATATTATTTTTACAGTAACTGTCATTTGCTCTTCTAATATCTATGATTATCATTATTAAGATAAAATCAAGTAACTTATTTTTGAAGGTTAATTATTAACTACTTAATAGGTAATTCAATGGATGCAGTCTCCGACTGAATTGGAAGGAATGCGAGACTTCGCTGATTGGAAAGACGAGAACAGCAAGTGTGATGTTAAAGGACAACCATTCTGTTCTCTACCTAATCCATGTCCATTAACCACCAGAGAATTACCAGGGGAAACCATTCGATTATTCACATGCATGGAATGTCCAAATTACTATCCATGGATTTTGGACCCAACTGGTGATGGATTTTCAACGAGAAGAAAAAGAAACATTCACCTGAATTTCAAAAACAAAAATTAATTTGTCTAGTCACAATTAAAAGAAATTAAATGAGAAAATTTAAAGAACAACACATAAATTGTGATTTTTGTGTTATTTTCTGTTGGGTACTTATATTATGTTAAATTAAAAACATAATTTCAATTTTTTATAACAAATAAGTACAAATAGGTTGTATTATAATACTTAAATTATTTTATAATCCTTTTTTTTTTTTTTGTACATTTTTCCATTATAAAATTTTACCTTTTGGTTAATTAAATTAGACTTAATGGTTATTGTCAGGAAAATATATCAACAAAAAATAAATTGAGAGTAAATATTTAAGCTATCATTTTAAATCTCATATAGTTATTTTATAACTATATGTATATATATATATGTGTAGTCCCTATTGATTGTATATCTGTAAACAATATTTTTCCTAATTGAATTACTAGATTTAATATTGTAATTGATAGTTTATTTATCTATATTACAGTTAATTTGTATTGTTTAATAAAAATTTAAGTTTTTACTTTATTTTAATTATTACATAAAATATTGGTAGGTAATTTAAATACCTGATTTAAAAAAAATAGAATAAAATACTTCAGTGACTAATTGGGGTTACTAACACATTTTAGAATTTAACTTAATAAAAAAAGTGTAACTTTGAAATTCAAAGTTACAAAATTGTTACAAATTACACTAAAAGTAATAATGGCATAAGTCCAAAAGCAGCAAGGTAAGAATCATAATTTGTCAACATACAATTTAAAAATTTATAAAATATATGGCAATATTTATAATGAAATTTGAATACTATTAAAATAAAGCCACAAAAAAAAAAAAATCTTTTTCTGGTTTAAATGTTAGACTATGTGTTATTTTAGGATGCCTGAATTCAAATCCAAGGTACAAAACACCCCAATTAATTTTTAATTTTGTTTCATGATTACATTACTTTGGCAGATGACAAACATTAATTTTTTAACTCAGTTTAACATATTAATATTAAAAAATATATTTAGCCCTAATATTTTATAAGTTACAAGTAATCATAGGAATGCTATTTAAAATTACAAGATTAATTTAATTGCAACTTTTAGATATAAATGAACTATTATAGAATGAAATAGCAAAAGGAATTCATATTTTATAAAAAAATGTATTTGTATTAATCATTATTTCATTAAAAAGAATCATTACACAGCAAATTAAAAATAAAAATGAATTGCATAATTAAACACACTCAAAATTAAGAATTTATAGCTTAAGTAAAGAGTTGGCTAATAAATAATAAATTATAAAATCTTATACAAATTTTTTTTAGCCAAATTGTGTTTACAGTAAAAAGTTTAAAATTTCATTGATTCATTGTTAGATTATAATTAACAAAAATTATTTACACTCATTTAAATTCAAAATAAATCAACATGTAAATTGTTTGTATCATTAATAAAAATATATAATGTCTAGTAGGATTTAAAAAGAAACAATATGTTTCATGTAGTAACTTAAAAAAAATAGGCATAATATTCAGTTTGATCCTTAGTGTTATAAGACTACTTTACATCACCAATTGTAAGGTTATCATATTTCTCATCATAATTTTCTTCATTTAAACATTCCTAAACAAATAAATATACATGTATTTTGATATATTGATTAAACAAAAAATATTTAATCTATGTCGAATAAAAGAGTATTGTTATTTTACCTGCAAAGTTTTTACGATATCTGTTGTTTTTTCAAGTAATTCCTTGCAAGATTTATTTTCTTCTTCCAATGCCAGTACCCATGATTTTAATTTTCTGTTTTCTTCTAATGTATCCTCTAATGCTTTTCTGCGGCGTTCAGCAATAACTTCCCAATATTTTTCACTAGGACCCACTAAAATTGTTAAATTAATATATGAAAACATATGATATAAGTAAATTAAATAATATTTACCAGTCGAGATAAGATCATCAATTATCAGTTTTTTGTACAAATTTGGGTTCACTTTTGCTACAGAAGAGTTTTTTTCCTTAATTTTTTTTTCATTTGAGTTTTCATTTTCTGATTTTTTAAGAAATTTTGCTTTTTTAACATCTTTAGTTCTAAAATAAATATATATTAATTACTAAATTCTTAGAATTCAGAAATAATGTTTTCTTACATTTTTTCTTGAGACCTTCCAGACCCTACAAGATTTTCTTTATTTTTTGCAGAATCTGCTCCAAGTTGTAATGTTTGAAGACATTTTCGAGGAGCTTTTTTGACATCAGAAGTCTAGAAAATGTATTTAATTTTTAAGATTGACAATTTTTCGTGTTAAATTTATGTACAATATACAGTGTAATTTATCAAGTATAATACTCTCCATTTTTTCATTTAATTATTATCTTTTATAAAAGAGTATAAATAAAAAATTTAATTAATTTTTATAAACCATTATAAATATCAAATTTGCTATAAGAAAAAATTATACCTAAGAGTAGATTTTAGGAGTAATTTTCAAAAGTTAAATGTGAACCTATTATTATATTTTACAAATAAAGAGTAGTCTAACTATGTATATAATAATATGTCAATAACCAGTTTTGTATTATTGTATTATTACTCAAATATTAGCTTTTAAAGATTTAAAAAAGATGACAAGTGAGATAGTGTTTAGCTATGCTTAATTTTTACCATCATAAACATATAAGAATTCTTCTACATTGCACATCCTTCTCACTTATATTTAAAATTTATAATCATATTCTTCTTTCCATCCACATTAAAAATGTCATTTTACATTTTACGTTACAAACTTCAGAAATACTGAAAGTTATTAACGACAAGTCATTTTTTTAATTAGATCATTATCTATAAACTAATCTAATCAATAAAAAGTATGTTGAAATTTAAAAAAAATAAAGTTGAAACCCTAATAAGGTATAAGATACTAACATAAAAAATACTTTGTTTAATAAATTAATAAAAAAAAGTTACCTAAAAAATTAAAAAAAAAATTCTCATAATTTTTTTTTTTTTTTTGACTAATTATAGGTGATTTATGATAAGTAAAACACCCTATATACACAAGAATTTTTTAACGACTTTTAAATATATAAAAACTTTTAAATTAAAAAAAATGATTACTTTACATTTTTAAATATTTAATAGCATAAAACTGAATTTCAGTTTTTCACTTAATTACTTTTAGCACATTAGTGAATTATATTTTAATTATTTATATTAGAATTCAGGAATATCATTGTTGATGACAGTTTAGTATAAAATAACATCCAATTACACCCACAAAAACTTAATTGCCTATAAACCACAAGATTTAGATGTAATCCACTTATGATATCTGTTAATAGTTATGCCACAATAATTGGTAGAGGTTATAACTTTTAAGGAGGAGAAATAATAAGAGAAAATATATCATTCTATAAAATTATAGGTTAATAGAGTCTGATAGCTCATTACCATTAGCACACATTTCAGGAAATAAAAGGTTATAATTAAAACTCCTATATAGTTTTGCTAATTTTATAATTACTTCTATGCAACTGATTCAATTATGGTCATAAACAAAAATTTTAGCAAACTCAAGATACAAATTTAATACGTACATATGACTTGCTATATTTTAAAATAATGTACATATGTTAAATATGCTATATTTTTTAATTATTATGTAAGTCATTATAATTCATATATTTATAGTGCACAAAATACTTTAAAATTATAATTTTTTTAAAAGGCTTGATTTTGGAGGGGTCGATCTACTTATTGCACTCAATATAATCACTACTGATTATATAAGCATCCTATTATTATCTATAATTTCAATTACCTGATACAACAAAAAAAAAAAAAACAGAAAACATGGAATACATAATTGTTAAGAATTATTTATTGATTGAAACATTTTAATTAATATATGAAATGTATGATTTAAATTTGTAAAAAAATATAAATACTTTACCTTGTTTGGCAAACCAATAGAAGCATTTTCCGAAACAGTTTTCATCGTCAGTCTTTTAATTCTGTTCATAAAAAAAAAATAGCTATGGTAATTGCTAACTTTGATACTAGTTAATATTGGTTCAAAGTCAAAAATATTCCATTTAAATTTTGTCTTCAGCTTTATTTATCAACGATTTAGTAAAATCTAAACAACGTAAAAACCAAAAATTTGATATTAATTTAAAATAGTTACAACTCAAAGTTATTAATACCAATAGCCAAGTATCACAATACGATTATATCAATTATGATAAAGCAACCTTACAGTAAATATTGCATTTACTTACATATAATTAATTTTTTATCGCTAAATAAATAAATTTGTATAACATTTAGTGGATAAAACCAAAAAAAATAATTTATCAAAAACACGTAGTCAATTACGACGAATAAAAAATTTGGAAAACCGTTGTGACATTATTCAAAGAGCCAGCTGTACGATTTTTATAATGCATGATATACATTTTTCAATGGTGCAAGATATGTACAGTATGACCAGCTTCTAAAACAAAAATATTCAGTACAGTAAGTTACTATACTTTAAGAAATGTTTATTAAATTTGAATTAATATTGTCACATATTTTCAACAGGTTACCTTTTAAAGATCACAAAACTTTAAAATATTTTTGCAGTGTTAATAAGATCTATTAATAAATTTTTAATTAAGAAAATTTTAGAATATATGTTTTTGTGTCAATTGATATGTATAGTTTTGGTCTAATTAAAAATTGTAATATTTTGATGAATTGAGAATTAAGGGTCATATAAAGGAATATGAGTAAGCACATCACTACAGTGTTAAATTACTCCTTCTTACCTAAAAAATATCTTTTTCGTCGTATTATAAAAATCATGCGCTATGATTTAAAAAATTGTTATTTCTAATTCCTGTTATCTAGTAGTTGAAAGTGGAAAATAATCTCTCCTAAAAAAAATTTGATGAATATTCATTAACAACTGTAGTTACTATACAGGGACTAAAAGATATTAGATCACATAAATTGAATTAAACATAATTATATACAATTGTGAGCATCCTAAAAATATATATTCTAATTGCGCCTATGTGTAGATTTAATACTAAATATTTAAAACTACTCAAAACACATCGTCTTTAATTGTTTTAATTAATAAAAACATAACTATTTCTAATCAAAATCATCTCAAGACTTTTATACAAGTATATTTATGTATAAGTATTTTAAAATTAAATTATCTTAAATTCAAATAATTCTTTAATTAAAATTTGTTTTATAAAATCTGACCAACTCTATAGTTTCAATTTCGAATATACTTGAAGAGTAAACAATTTAACTGTGTATTCTCATGACTACGCTAAGAAATTAAAAAAAAATTATTTATTTAAAACAATATTAAATATTGTTTTTAAGAAATTTCAGAATTTTTACATATTTTTTTTATTAAATTGTAAAGTAATTATATTGTTTTTTTAATGGTCAGTCAATAAAAAAAAATTCTTTGTAAGTTAAATAATTATAACTGTATGTTATAGAACTAAATCTAAAAAAAAGTTAAGCTTTTCTTATACTATTTTGTACCAAAATAAAAGCTTGAAGAGTAAATAATAATCTTATCATATCAGTTTCTAATTATACACAACTTTTTTATTTGATTAAACAAACTCAATAGACAACAAAGACAATATTAATAAATAAAAATCATAGGTAGTTTATCTCGACTGTTAGCTGCAAGTCGATATTATATATTAATTTAAAGTTTTTAAATCTAAATAGCAAATTACAAAAGATGACAATGTTTTTTAGTTATCGTCTAATTACTTGAAAAGATAACTACTATAACTGTATTATTTATTTATTAATAATATAGCTGAAAGATTGTCTGGACTATGTCATGATTATGTTAGCAGCTATTTTTCGTGATGCGAATGATTACAAAAATAAACAGAAATATACGAATGAAATATTATATTGTGCAAGCTAATTCTATCATAAAACAGCTGATGACTATTTTTAAATATCGTTTAGTGTGCTCCTGCTATTTTAATTTTTAAACCGAAATTTTGTAGCTAAATTATCTAACAATGAACCTTACAATTTCTAAAATACAGGTAAATAGTTTAATTGTAAACCGAATGTATATTCGTAAATTATGAAATATTTTTTGTTTATTACTGATAAATTACAATTTTTTTACAGAGGGATTCTTTTAATGATAGCTATTTAAATCCTCATAAAGAAGTTTTTTGAAACATTTTTTTTGTATTCTGTTAGTTCCATATAAAAAAATGTATCTGTTATAAAATAATTTTTAGGTCCATCCCTTATATCTTATAGGGGTGTAAGTTTTATATTTTAATGGCAACACACAAATTAAACTAGCTTTTAAAATAGAAAATTATCTAATTATTAGTTATTTAGTTATTAGTCATTTCTCGACAGCATTTCTCTTACTACTTAGGTACAAAAATGTGAATATCTTCTGAAGCATTAATCACAAAGTTGTTATCGACTAATCATTTGTTTAATTAGATAAATTCTATTTTGTAAGCTTGTTTTATACCTATATTGCTATTAAAAAAAATAAAATTAACACCTCTATAAGATATGAGGGATGGATCTAAAAAAATTATTTTATAACAGATAAATGATATAACAGATATATATGTAACTAATAAAATACAAAAAAAAATATATTTAAAAAAACTTATTATATTAATAGGAATTGAGTGGCTAGCGTCAAAAGAATCACTTAGTATATTTTCAAATGTGTGTTAAATATAACACCTCAAATTTAAGTATATATTTTGACGTACAATTCATACACTTAGCCTTATTTTGATCTATCTTATCAAATTTAAATGATAGTAATAAAATAATATTTTGTTTTCCATAGACTTTTTATAAGTGTTCATATTTTATTATCATAAAACCGTTATCGTTTATCAATCAACACAGGCGGTTATTTTTTAATCATGTATTGGTAGGAATTTTAATTGCCTGAGTTTTTATTTATTTAGAATTGATTATTGTTAATTTTACTTGGTTTAGTAACTTCTATTAATGAAAATTTAGATATTTTTGTAGTTTTTTATAAACATAATGAAAACAGCAACATTTTCTAAAGGAGATGTAGGAACCGAAAAAGTAAAATACAGATTTAATTTTTTGTTTGTTAAGTAATAAAATTTTGTTTTAGGGATCTGAAAAAGGTATGAGGAAGTTTTTACAAAATTTGCAACCCTCTAGTGGTGGCAAAGAAAATTTAGTTGGTGCTGGTAGGATACCACAAGAATCAATGTAATATAAGTTAAATATTTACATTATATAATTTTGTAACAAAACATGCATTTTTATGTATTAATTAGGATTGACTCCAAATCTGCAGTTAAATCAGAACACGTTTTTACTGATGTTGATGTAAAGGTTAAAGATAAGAAAGATAAACATTCTATTTCAAAAGTAAATCCATCCCTATATAAAAAATTGATTATTGAAGATCTTACTTCAACGGGTAAGTATTTTATTTAAAAAAAAGTTTGTTTGAAGATGGTGTTCTACTATATTAAGTTAAAAATTATTCTAATATTTTATTTAGCTGGTCCTAGTGAAAAATATTGGGAAGTAATTGCTGAAAGACGTAGAAAAGCACTAGAAGAAGTTTTAGAAGAAAATAAAAAACTTCAGGATTTAGTTGCTGCTCTTGAAGAAGAAAATACTTCCTGTAAAAAATTACTTGAAAGTAGTACTGAACTTATTAATACATTAAAGGTAAATTATTATTTTTTTAATGTAACAAATTATTTGTCTGATAAACATTTTTTTCTCATACTCATAAGTATACAATTACTAAAATAATAAAACAAAAAACTAAAGCTTTTAAAAATTAAATTTTTGAGTTTTTAATCAGTTAGTTTTTATGCAGTTATCTTTTAAAAATTTATTTACACAGGAAATGATTAATGAAAACTTTTTGGAAAATAATGATGAGTCAAATAGTTGCCATGAAGATAGCATTTTAAATTCATCAGATGGTTCTTCTACTGAAATACATGTTAACAAGAAAATGAAAACAATAGATTCAGAAAGTGAATCACAATAATTTATTGTAATTAATATTTTAAGAGCTAAGACGTTATTATTACTTTATGCTTTTCCTCGTGTTATTTTTACTTGTAGTACTATAAATTTCTTATAGTCAGGATGGGTTTATTTTGGTTCCTAAACATTAGCTAATTGTATGATGTGTGTCAATGTTTTATTTTAATTTAATTAATGTTTTCTTATGTACATAATGTTTTTGTTTATGCAGTTTGTGTTTAAAATATAAACAGTTAAATATTTTTATATAAGTGCATAAATTAATATTGTAAATTCAAATAAAAGTATGAGGGTTATCAATTGTTTGTTTTTAAAAATTAACGTGTACCATAACTAAAAATTTAACATGTGCCAATTTAATAGAAATTTAGTATTACAAAAACTTAATATTATATAGAAGTTTTGTTCAGTGCAATAAGTTAAATTTTACATTATATAAGATAATTTTTCTTTTTTTTTAAATTAATATTCTCTTAGTTTATTAAGTCATGGGTATAAAGTAAATAAAACATCACAAAATAAATTTGGCTTCATAATTTCTACTATAATCTTCTTTTTGATTTTTCAAAGGCTATTAAGATCCATCATAACACATACCTACTCCTATATATATCCTGTGATACTGTTTCACCAAGTTGAATTCCAATTTCCAATGAATTATTTTCGAATTTGTCTATCCACCTGTTTTGGTTTACCTATTGGAATGTTTCCATTTTATTATTACTTTCATCAGATTATTAGATCATCATACCAGCCTATGTTCATCATTTTTTTCATATTTTATTTTAATAGGAATTCACAGTAGAAATTAGATTTTTAAATTTCGTTAAAAAATATTAATAATGAATGTCAATATTGTTAAATTCAGTAAAATTTTCTCTATAACATATTCAATTATAATTGTTATTTAAGAGAAGGTTAAAAAATATTAACATTACTTTTTTCGTGTTATAAAAATTATTTACAAATAATAGTTAAAAATTTAACAAAAAATAACCAAAATTGTTTTAACCCTTATTATTACATATCAGAAGACAATTAACTAAATGCTATGCTTCCAGTTTTTCCAAGTTATATTTAATATGTACTAAAAATTGGATCAAATATACTTTGTCTTATCACTATCCAATTTTTTTTTTTTAATGTTTCATTACTTCACATTTTTTTAGTCAATAGACATGAAAAATTTGTGTGTATTAATGTTAGAATTTATTTTTAAAATAAAATATTGATTAAGAGTACCTATAAATATTTTATTCATTACTAAATTTTATTTCAGATCTTATTATATAAATTAAATTTTAAAAAATTAACAAGTGATTAATCTTAAATTATAAAAATTATAATCTACAGTAAACAAATTAAATAATTATTAATACACAAGACTACACGAGAATAATGATTTAAAATTCTTCAATGTCTTCACTTTCATCATTGTTCCATCCTATACTTCGGGACACTGCATTTTTCCATTCATTGTACTTATTTAATTGTTCTAAAATTTAAATGATAGTTATAATTTATTATATATTTAGTTTAATTTAAATTAATATAATTTCAACCTTGTTTGGATATTGATGACAAAAAAGTATCAGATATTGATTTTATACTCTGTATTTTCCATAATCCAATTGCTATTCCAGCTGCCAAAGCTGCACCCATAGCAGTGGTTTCAACCATTTTTGGACGTACTAGTTATAAATAATGAACATTCAATAAATTTATATGAAAATATTCAACATTAGCTATAATGTTATAAGCTAAATTACTGTTAAAATAATTAGAATTTTAAATCAGTAAGGTATTAAGTATTTCATAACTAACCAACTGGTATTCCACATAAGTTGGCCAAAATTTGTAAAAACCCATTACTAATTGTCATACCCCCATCAACTTTTAAAGTAGTAATTAGATGTCCAGCATCCCACTGCATTGATTCCAATACATCTTTGGTTTGGAAACCAACACCTTCAAGAGTTGCTCTTGCTAAATGGGCATCTGTACTATCAAGAGTTAGTCCAACTATTGTTCTACAAATGATTTTGAATAAAATGTAATAAATTATTAAGCATATTATTATGATCTATAAGTTGTAAAGTTTTATAATTATGATTATTAAACATAATTATTATTCTTACCCCCGTGCATCACTCTTCCAATATGGAGCATATAATCCAGAGAATGCAGGAACAAAGTGTACACCATTAGTATCAGGTATACTATTTATTAATGTTGATAAATGATCATAATTAGATATAATTCCTAAATTATCCTTCAACCATTTTACAGCAGCACCAGCTACAGCAACAGAACCTTCTAGTGCATACACTGCATCAACATTCTTTCCTAGTTTGTAAGCAACTGTAGTCAGAAGACCATGTTTGGAAATAACTGCCTATATTCAATTTTTTATTTAACATTTTTTTTCAAAATAAATTTTAAAATCAAATAAATAAATTTAAATAACCTTATGACCAGTGTTGTATAATAAAAAACACCCTGTACCAAATGTACTCTTTGCTTCTCCAGCTTCAAAACACATTTGACCTATAAGTGCAGCCTGTTGATCTCCTACACACTATTTATATGCAATTGAATAAAATTGATTAATGATAATCAATAAAAAAATTAATTTACTCCAGATATTGGTTTTCCAAAAAGAGGTCCATCAAACATGTAACCATAAACTTCAGAACAACTTCTTATTTCTGGTAATAACACTCCATTAGGTATACTAAAGTATCTGTAAAAAGAAAACTAAATAGCATTTTGAATAATTAAAATTTAGGCTTTAAAATAATATAGAAAATTAGGAATGAAGAAAATATTACTTAACTGTGAATTACTTCTATTTTTAACATTCTTTAAATAAATAGTCTTAATAGCAAGAGTATCAATTGAGGGACATAGAGCAGGAAGTTTTTTATTGTCATTTTTTAGTCTCATGAAAATGATGTATTTTGCTGGCTTTAACAATAAAAAAAGAATGATGTCCACACAAAAAATCCAACTTTGAAAAAAGGCCAAGTTTTAATGCCCTTTCAAAAGAAGTATATCTATCAAAGTAGTGATATCTACATTTTGATTAAATTTGCTCTTTCTTTAGTTCATACTCTTAAATCCTACTTTTGTGAGCAAAATTCCTCCTTTAACCGTATTATTTTTTCCTAAATACTAACTCAGTACTCATTTAAATATTATACGGGAGATGGGAAGAAGAAAATTTATAATAAAAGAGAAAAGGTCTAATGAAATTTGTTCGAAAATTTTGTCAAAATCTATTTTATGTTTCAAACAAAAAATGAACAAGTATTAAGCTATATACATAATTGAATAATATCGCTCATGACAATAAGATCTAAGTTTACAAATTATAGATTTTTTCTCAAAAAATGTTTTAAATTTCATGTGACTCTAAAGAAAGGGATTTTTTGGAAGGGAGATATTGGAACTTGATCCTTCTTCCCAGTTAGGTTTTCATTGGGATTACTTTAACCAATTTGAACATTGTTACTTCCAGATAAAAATATTTCTACCCTTACAACCTCTCTTTTCTGCTCAAGATTATATTGTGACAATCATTAAATTTTAGGTATTTTACATTATATCTTTGCCAAATATTATTTAAAAAGCTTTAATTTAAAATTTTAATTTGTTTATACATAATACTTTCAAATAATAATACAATTTGTGATCAAATACATAATTATCAAATTAGTTGATAGTTTAAAAAATTTTCATTCCTATACATATTTGAAGTTAATATATCTGAAAAACTATTAATTTAAAATTATTCTAAAATAATAGTAGTATAATCAATATATTATAAATTGATAAAGATGATAAAACTCCATATATATATTTATAAAAATTTATACATTAATAAATAATAATATAAATAAAAATTTTCTTTTAAAAATTTCGTCTTGTGATATAATTTTATACATAAATAAACACAACATTTTTTATAATGAGTACATACAACAAAAAATTGTGTTCCTTTCTAGTTTTTAACACACTCATAAATATAACCATGTTCATATATGCTTCTATTTATACTAAGACATAGAATGTTAGTACTTAGTGCAGTTATTTGTTTTCAATATTTAATCAAATAAAAACTAACAATGATATGTATGAAATAATTATTCAAATGATTATATTACATACTCGATTAAATTTTCATCCCAATTCAATGAATGGATATTCATAAGCATTGTTCGAGAAGCATTAGTAACATCAGTTATATGAACACCAGAATTCACACCTCCAGTAAGACTCTGAAAAAAATATTTAATTTAGTATAAAAATTATGGAACTTAAAGAATATATCTAAATATTTGATAATACTGAATAACCTTAGAAATTAAATACTTGCTTTGGTTTGTAAAAATTATTGTAGATATATAAAAAATTAAATTAAATACTAAATCATGACATAATAAAATGGTTACGAGAGTTTGTAATTTTAATAAATACATTTTAAATACAAAATTACTTTTAAATAGAACAAAACATAATATTACATATGAGACAGCAGCATTAATTCAATAATTAATATTTTACTTTTTATTTTGTTGTAAAATTATCATCAAATATTTAATAATTTTAATTTTAGAATATAACTTCAATAATTAAATATTACTAAATTTTATTTATTTAATGGGAAATAAAGGAAAGACTTCACATGAAGTAGAATAAAAGAGCATTACTGCACTCATTTTTGTTCTATTAAAAATTATTATTACCCAAATTATCCATGTATCCATAGTTCCAAACATACAGCGTTTTTCTTTTACAGCGCTCATTACTTCTGGCACATTTTCTATTAACCAAATTAATTTAAAAACGCTGAAGTACGGATTCATTGTTAATCCACTTTTAGACTGTAAATACCTGTGACAGATATTAAATAATAATGTCATAATTTGTAGAAAAATGAATAGGTATTCATGCTGTATATACCCAACCCTACAAATATATAGGGTCTACAGTAAGTAAGGAAACAGGTTTCTATTGTTCTCATTGTTTGTAACAATTGACCTGTTTTTTTACTTACAAAACACATATATTCTGTATAATTATTTCAATATGGCCAAAAAAGTATTATTTAAATTAATCAAATGAAAAACTAAACAAAAATAAAATTCTTAAACCTTAATTACTATTTATTACAAATGCTTATTTTTTGAGGCATGATGTGGCACTGGGGATTATTCACTATCTGAGTATCAATGTTCTGCTACACTGTTTGCTGTTGATTCCCAGATGAGTGAACATACAGGAACTTGAACAGTGACATACACCTTGCCTCATAATGGTTTCCTCAGATACAATAAGTGGCTGGGTTAGAATTAAGGCTATGGTGATGATAATGACATGCATATTTTTTAAATGATTTCTTATAAAAAATTTTTTTTGATAAACAATTTTTGTGCAGTTAAATAAATTTCTTTGCATGGTTAAAACTTGGAAAATATAAAAGTAATTTATGATACATTATAAAATAATACATTCATACCCAAAAAGTGTCAGATAAAAATTAATATTTTTTAAAATATATAAAAATTATACTAGATAATATGAAGAATTAATAAGAAAAACATCAGTTGATAATTTAGAATAAATTACCTAAATATCGACAAAAAAAAAAAAAAGGTAAAGAGTACATTATAAATTTGAACAACTTACTGCTTTTTTTCATTAATAGTAGTAAAATGTGGAATATCTTTACTTAAAAATCTATCTACTATCCCTTCTGTTCTAACATCCATCCAGACTGTTAAAAAAATACAATTAATACTTTAATATGTAATTTAAAATATTTCAAATAGGCATACTAATAGCATTATATAATGGTTTTCCAGTTATTTTGTCCCATACTAATGTAGTTTCTCTTTGGTTTGTTATTCCAATTGTAGCAACACATTCAGGAGATATATTCATAGATTTTAATTTATCACAAGTCACACTAATAGTTTCTTTTATTTTGTTCAAAATATCAATAGGATCTTGTTCTACCCACCCTTCGTTCAGACAAATGTTTGTCGTGTTTATTTGATGGCTTGCTATAGGTAAATGAGTTTTTGAAGAAAATACCTAAAGAGTCATTTTTTAATTAAATTTTAAAATTTATTTAGATAATAATTAAATTTGATATTATAAATAAATATGTTTATATAATCTATATATGAGTCAAATACTTAAATTTTCAGTATATAATAATTTCTTTAATTCATTTAATGTTGGATGACTAAAAAATGAAGTAAAAATATTTAGTTTTAAATAGGTGGTTTAATAGCTCACAAAATTAATTTTAAGAATTACATATATATTTTAACATATTATATCATAGGCACAAATTAGATGAATTGAAAGGGCTACAGCCCTATCAATGTTAAAATTAACCCCTCCAATATTTCTGAATAACTTTAAATAATGTTATTTATTTTTTATTTAAGGTGATATTACAAAGCCCTTCCCACTTTTTTTTTTAAATTTTGTCTGTGGCCTGTCTATTAGTTCTATAAAAATTTTTTTGCTATACATATTTAATAAAATAATTTATATTTATATTTTACCTTGAATACATTTTTATCTCTTTTATCTTCCTCGCCATTATCCCAACTACTTTTCCTAATTCTAAATTTTCTCCTATTTACACTATATTGTAGGAGAATAATATGCACCATGGTACCTCTTCTTGTATTTCTCTAGTAATTTCTTCCATCACTAAGGAAAATGAGCAAGGACTTAAAGCAAACTTTGTTTCAATATCTTCTATTACTTCACCCACACTTTTAACCCTGGTACAAATCCCATCATACATATTCTCTATTATATTAATGAACCTATTTGGGACTCCTTTTCTCATTAAAACCTTTCTCTTTGCTCTATCATACGCTTTCTCCAAATCTATAAATTTCATACCCAGCCTTTTCTTCTATTTCCTATAATTTTCTATTAATTGTCTCACACAAAAAATTGGCTCCATCATTGACTTTCCAGGCAAAAAATCAAACTGGTTCATTGTTACTGATATTTTTCTTCTTATTCTTTTGTCAATTGCTTTTTTCCAAATCTTCATAATATGACTCATAAGCTTTATGACTCTATAATGTCCACACTCCTGTAGGTTTCATTAGCCTCTAAATATTGTCATCACATTACTATTTTTCCATTCTTTTGAAATTTTACCTTCTAATAGGATTTTATTAAATAAATACTTCAACCACCTTATGCCAACACTGCGTAATATTTTACATACTTCTATTGGCATTTCTTCTGGCTTTATTTTTTATCATTGATGCCACAGCTTCCCATACCTATTTTTCACAAATTTAATCTACCAATCCATTTTTCCACAAGATATACTCTAAAATCTCTTGGATACTCCTCATTCAGTAATTTTTCAAAATACTCTTTCAATTTTTTTTTGAACATTGTCATCGTTCACTAATAGCCTATCATCACTTTTTATATACCTTACATTCTGTTAATCTTTAGTAATAATAACTGCTCTTACTATTGCAAATCTCAAGACTTTTTTTTCAACTTCCTTTGTTCCTAACCTATCATAGAATTCATCATACCTCTTAAACTTCACCTTACTTACCGCACATTTGGCTTCTATGCACAAGTATTTATACTCCACCCAATCTTCTCTCCTTTTGCTCTTCTGCCATATTTTAAACTACTTTTTCTTACTGTCTATGATTTTTTAAACATCTTTTTCCCACAATCAAGTTTCTGTGTTTCCTGGCATTCTATTCCTACTTTCACCAACCATCTCCTTTGCAGTATTCTTTACACAACTAGCAAATCTAAATTAATATATTTAAATACTCTTTTACAAAAATGAAATTTAATGATATCTATAATAACACAGAAAATAAAGTTAATCATTTTAATTAAAAAAATTGTTGTTGAAATGTTTTTAATAATACAAGAGCGTATGATGTTATAGGCAATTATGTTTGATATATAAAAAATATTTTCTTTAAGTTTATTATAACTTTTTTATTTTTAATCAATTCTTTTGTTTAATTTTTAAAATTTTTTAAGTGACTATGATATGTCAAACATATAAATTACAAAAGACTGGTATAGTTCATCAAAATATAATTATACATACCATAAACCGTGTACTACTAGTGCCTTCATCAATGGAACCAATTAATTTTTCATTTGTAGTAGACATTTTACAACTGTTGATTAAAAGTTTTAAAAGTAAAATAATAAAATCTAGTATATTTAAACAAAAATTTATAAACTTTTAGTTAAAAAATAAAGGAAACTATGTGAACACATAGATTATTTAGTTAGAAATATTAATTAAAAACTTAGAACATTGAATACCAATAGATAACTAAGGATATACTAAATACGTAAAACAATATTTATAGGTTGCAACATTAAATATTTGTTATCTATTAGTTTTCACATTAATATTTAATCGTAATTGACTCTATGACTTATGTATACTAATGCTTATTATTATTTCTTATAACAGATAAAACAATTAATTCATAAATTCTTAATATTCTGGTTGAATTAAAGGGAACATTGACAAAATGTATTTTCAAATTATTCGGTAAATTGATAGTGCATGGCATCTAATACTTTGAAAAAGGAAAGGAATGGGCATATTTTTTAAGGAAACTCACAAATGCCTACATTTCTCTAGTTAATATTTTTCAAAATCTTAGCACCAATCATAAATAGAAATGTTTTTTTATAGTAAAGCAAGTAGGGTTAAATAAATTCACATTTAAAAGATTTACATATTTTGCGCGCAAAATATGAGATATAATAAAAATAGTAATATTAACAATAAATTTATTAAAAATATACATAAATACTATCAAATTTATAAACTGATAATATGTTATCTCATATCATTGATAAAATATCTCTACTAATTTACATTTTGATTTCTAGTTAATTTATTTTTTACGTATCATAATAATAAATAAATATTTATTTTAATATTAAAACTTTTTCATGAACTAAATAATGAACAACTTTAACTATACTTCGAAATACATCAAGTTATTAAATAAATTAAGTAATAATAATAAAACCACAGCAGCTTTAAAAACTTCAATTTTGTAAGAGTTTATTATTAATATACCTTATAATATCTAAAATAAAACAAACTTTAAAAAAAAGTTTAGGACATAATTTGTCGTGTTAATTTAAATGTAAATAGTTTATTTGCTCTAAATTAAAAAATTATAATCATATTTTCATTTTTTTATGAAATTAATTGGTATTAATTTTTAATAAAAATTTACTTTTTTGACTTTTTAAATTTATCATAATACGAAAAAAATTAAATTGCCTTTGATGAAAGTAGTACACACACAAATCTAGTATATTATATATTTCAAAATGTCAATCAGTTAACAATTATTATTAAAAATTCCCCTTTGTTTTGTATTAGCTATGAAATGATGTGTTTACATTAAGAACTGATCTTACCCATAAAAAATATGTAGTTAAATATATTAGCCTTTAAAATTTGAACAATTTTTCTGAGTTAAAATAATTATTTGCAAGCAAACCAAGCAGGATTTTTTCAAATTTTAATTTAATTTTGTAAAAAATACAGGGTATTAAACTTGATATAAATGGGTGACAAAATTATTTGCTGTAGGATAACATTGACTCTTAACAAAGCCCAATATATATACATTTTTTTTTTAACTAGACAATCTTATATAATACAATAAAATTTATTTATTTGCAATATATCAGATTATTTATTATACTGTTCTCTAATTTTATGGTTAACTTAAACTTTTTCATAAACCACTTTACTATTGTAAATTGTATAAGCATATTTAATTGTTTTATTATTAAAGGTAATACTTTTTCACTATAGAAAATTTTTGAATAAAACTACTTAACTTAACTAGTCTACTTAACTTAATGTCAAAGGTAGCAGTAAATAATATTTGTAAATTTAATAATCCCATTTTTTTTCTAAGATATTTTCCTAGCATAATACACTTATCAATATATAAAAAGTTATGTATTATCATTCATAATTCATACTATTTAAAAATAATACTTCATGTTCAAAAAAAATAATTTTATTTCTTTTTGTATTTTAAGAAAATCCATTTAATTTTCAATCTAATAATTTTTGCACAATTTTTTCTTTGTTAGATCAATTGATATTTTAATTATTATTTTTGTTTTTAAGACACTTAGTACGAAACGAATCAAGAAATATAAAGACTGATAAAATTATTGATGGAAAACAGCAATGTACTTATTGTTTAAACAATTGGAGAGATGGTCAATTTTTAATAAAAACTGTTCCTGTTAAATACAAAAAGAAAACCATTCTAAGAACTCAACATTTTTTCAAAATGGTAAATAGAGTGATTGCTTTATAAAGTATTACACAATATTTTAAAGTGCAAAAACAATTTTGTTTTTTCAATAAGATATTTATAGAAGAGTTAGAACTTTCATCATGAATTACGTGTTAAAAGAATTATTTCTTAGAAAAATATAGTTTGGGATATTCAATACATTTGAATAGTCAAGGTGAATAATAGTTGGATTTTAAAATCCAGGTTAACATTGTATTAGAAAAATTAAAAATTTTTTATTCTTATTTTATAGGATCTACTCCCTATAAATTAAAAAAAAAACGACGACCCTGAAAATTATCCAGACCAATTTTTTTTAGAAAATATTAGTATTTTTATGCCTGGGTGAACGGGGTAGCTTAGCAATTTAATGTACTTCTTCAAAAGTTATTAATGACTAAATATTTTCAACGATCTTAAAGATTTTGTAATTTTTAAGCTGTAAAACTCCTTAAATAGATTCGTAGCTTGTTAGATATATTTAATTCTAAAATGAAAATACTACTATTTTAAACTTTTGAAAATATTGTATGTGAAATAGCCAGTATTCATATGTTATATAAATTTAGATAAAATTATAGTTATAATGTTAATTAATTAAAATCAATGATCAATGTCTATCTAATATTATTTAAAAAATATATTTTTTAATTTTTAAATTGTGTATGTTTTGCTTAAGTAACTACACAATTATAGATAAAAGTTATACAGAGTGTTCAAAAAGTAAGGAAACCACGAGAGCAGTTAAAACCCATTTCCTTACTTACTGATAACTATATGTCTTTATTATAAAACTAAAAAAATTGTAAAGTAAGTTTTTAATTAAAGTACAATTTTCAATTGAAAAAAAAAAAATTTACTGAAGTAAATTTAAGAAAATTTTAAAAAATACTTAACAAATTTATACTTTATTTTAGGTTATTAGATGTACCATTTGTCAAAAATCAACTGTTTTTAATTTTCAAAAGAATAAAATTGACAAGGAAAAATTTGTACAATATATTGAATTTAAGGAAAGTCATCATGGAACTTCTAGTATAGATATCAATAAAGACCAAATATTGAACAATTTAGAAAATATATCAAAGCCTATTTTAATTGATCTAAAACAAAATAAGGCTGCAAATTGTAATTTAAATCGTGAGGAAGATATTAAAAATATTAATATTAGTATTTTAAACAAAAAGAGAAAAAAGAAAAATAGGTCACGTTATGCTGGATTGAACCCTTCAGTTTTAAAAAAAATTAACATTAGTAAAAATAAAAAGGCTTGAAGATATATATTTTTCACAACTTTATAAAATCTATTGGTTTTATCAATAAATATTAAAATATAAGAAATAAGTGTAAAACATGTATAACCAGTTACTTGTCTCAATAAATCAAATTAAATTTGATACAGAATTTAATAAATTTTTTGCCATAAACATTTTATTAAAAAGTATTTGTTTTCTACTATTAATTTTTTTACTATTATAATTTATGCTTTAATGCAATGAGCTGGTATTGGTCAATTAATGTGACTTTTTTTTTTTTTTTACTTTTACTGTAATATTTCGCAACTCCTATTACAATATCGTTGATCAAAGAAATAAAGAAATAAAAATTACACCTAGTTGGATACATCACCCTCAAATTTAAAAAAAAAAATTTAATAGTAAAAAATCTTAGTAATAACAATTGTTGATAACTTTTAATTTTTAAATTGTTAGATTTAAAATGATAAAATAAAAAACCAGTTGATTTTAAAATAAACAATTTTAAACTCTATTGGCTTTACTAATTTTTACGTCAATTAAATTAAACTATTTCACTATTTCAACACTAAAAAAGAAAATATAAATTTTTTTTTTGAATAAAAATAATAAATAAAGTTTGAAAATTCTGGAAATATTTTTTCTATTTCATCCAATCTGTTCTGTAGTATAGGCAGATACACCTATACTGGATTTCTAAAGACACTTTGGGATACATATACTTTCAGTACTCAGGCTTAATGGTCGAATTTGTGCAACGTGTACTCCTTAGATTTGCTTATAACAAACTACATGTTTCTTATTTTTAAAAAAAATATAGTTGTGTCCTTCAGTCTCCTATTCATTCCAGTTTTATAAATCTTGTGAAGTTTTTTCATTTTGATTTAATCTTTTTTGTTAGAATTGACTCACATAATCTGTTGTTTTTAATAATAAAGTAGTAAACAATTTTTACTAAGTGTACTATAAACAGGCGTATCTAGAATAACATTTTTGAGTGTGCGAAATGTATTTTCATTCTACCTTAAAAATACTTTATATAAAAATATTATTTTATTTGTAAGAGTATAAAAGATCTAGTCTCCTATAAAATAGTTGATCCTATCGAATTTTTTTCGATCTCTAATTTTATTTTTGGCTACTTTAAATGTAGTCATACAAATTGTCGAATAAATTTTACTTGCCATTTCAATATGATCTCAACGACTTGCTATATTTAGTATCATCACGGACACCTTAGAATAGACGCCATAAACAGTAAATGATTATTAGCTGTTTGGTGAGAATGTTCGAAAGTTTAGCCATCTTCGATATGCGACCACTATCGGATCGACCGGGAAATAAGAATAATGCGCATACGTTCTTCCAGTGCGAGGCGTGGATTTACGAAGAAAAAGAGCCCAGTCTCAAATACTTGTTCAGTGTGGGGTTTATGTTGGACCTCATATTAAGAAGCTGAGACAGGTAGTCTTTTGTCTAGGCATTCGCTGAATCGGTGATGAAACGTAAAGGGGAAGCGAAACGCATGAGCATAGATTGTCTTAAGGTTGAAGCAAGTGGATCTGGTTCGGATCTTGTCTTAGCTTATAAATTTATTTAAGCGTGTGTTTTTTGTTTTTGATTTATAAGCTAATCGACAAACAGACCTGTCCTCATCTTTAAGTGATGCAACTTAGGCAACGGATCCCATTCTGGGGTCCGATAACGGGGAAAGTTACGCTATGTTGTGATTCAGCTCTTGATTAATTTTTAATTGTGACCGCATGGGCCACACTGAAATAATGCCTAACCAAAGTTCTAGGGCGACTCACAATAATGTCGGAGGAGAAAAAAGGGTTAGCCATCTGCGTAATTAGCTGGGAGCCTGGGCTAATTTAGCCTCCCTTAAAAATCAGAAAATATATGTGTATTATTATATTGACATACTTTTTAGAGTGGAGAAAATTAAAAATAGAATCTCCCCAAAACTTGTTATTAAAATTATATGGTTTATCATAGTAAATAATTTCTATAGTGAGAAATTAAATTTTACTTTTTCAAAAAAGCTGACCATCCTTTTATTAATATTCTATTATTGAATCCTTGTAATTTATTTTATAATAAAACATTTTTATTATACATTAAAAGAAATCTGAAAAATTATTACACTTACTAAGTGCGTTAAATTAACATTATGTTTATTACCTTTAAGATAATCAATTTTAGAAATTATTTTATTTTAAAATACAAAGGACCGTTTACCATTATGATTTTAACAATATCGGATAAGTATTATTTAAATTTAAGCTTTTCGACCTTTATTTTAAAGATAAAAACCTCGTTAAGAATTACTTTGAAATTAAAGACAATTAAAAAAATATTTCATATTTTACAAATAAAATAAAAAAAAGCTGAAGTTTTAAAAGAAAAATAACTGTTAAAGATATTTAAGTTATTTGACTTATTAGGTTTTGTAGGTTTTACCACTCTATATATATTATAATCAGCATTAATTATATTTACATGTCAACTAATGTATTTTAACAAAAGGAAAATAATTAAAATCAGCTCTGTTTATATTAGTTACACAAATTATTGGTATAAGCTTTGAGAGATTGACAGCATAATAAGTAAATTAGAGTATTTATCGATAAGATGGGTGAGCATGTGATACAAGGTAATAAAGAATACTTATAAAGTTAATGTATTATTTAATCTACAATTTTAAATAATTGGTAACTTTAAATATTTGTATATTAGCTGTACATTTGACAATATTTTTTAAAGAAAGTCACGAAATAAGTATTTGTTGAAATCTATTTTAAATCGACAGTTTTAAAACATTTCAATAAGTATTTGTAAAGATGTATAATGTTTGAAACTGTATTCATTGGCAATCATTTAATCTAAGTCTTGAAGCAAAAGTTGTTAACAATCTAAAATTTGTTTTGATAATCATTTTTTTTATCATTTAAAAAAACATTCTAAATGATAAAAAAACAATGGAAGTGCCTTGCACTCGTAAAACTTTAACATGTGAGCTTATAATTTTATTGATTTGTTATTTAAATTAAAAAATTTAACTTAATTTTATTTAAACTAAAAAAATTGTCTAAAATATTATATTTATTCTTACACTTGCACTTGTAATAGAATTTAACTACACATCAAAATAATATTAATATTTACCAAGTACATATATTTGTTTGTATGAGTTTTAGATAAAATAAAAATAATAGCTCGAGAATTTACCATATTGTAATATTCGATATTTCAATAGGAAATATTAACATATGAACTATAAACCGCTGAGTCACTCATATATTACTTAAGTTTCTGCAGCATTCTATTTTAGTTTCTTATCATTCAACTAATCTCTGACGCCTTATATGTTACTTAGTAAATCATAATTTCAGTCATATTATCTCAAGCGTTAGTTGAATTTATCTTATAAAATACTCATAGTTTTGGTATAAACCTAATTAAACTAAAATTAAACATTATTAGATGTAAAAAAATAAGATCTGCTTTTGTTCCTTTACTTTTAACTAGAAATTTGAAATTTTTAATGAGAGAAACATGTCTTTTAGAAAGACAAGGCCCCCTTCCTAATAACAATTTTTTTCGTAACTTTCTTAGACATATTTGTATTCCACCAATAGGGAAGTATAAGCCTACCGGAAAATTGATATTTTTTCATTGAACTCCTCAATCGTGTTAAAATATAATAAATAACTGAGTTCTTTAATTTTTAACTTATGGTAACTAAAATAATTCTTTGAAAAATATGTTATCTTTTTTAAAATATATATAGTACAACAAAATTTGAACGAAGTGAATGACGGCATTTTTTTAAACTTGGAACCCATCAGGTTTTTTTCTGTAAGTAAACAATCTCTTAATTGAACCCTGTGTTATATTAAAACTATTCTATGTCTTTAATAAAGGTACAAATAAGAGGTAATTTAGCTACCCAATACTCTCAGAAATGCCAATAGCACTTTCAAAAATGTTGAAAAATTGTATTTATGGTTATCTAAAAAAAATTGAAAATAGCAAAGTTGTATTATTTAACCCAAAAATATTTTACTACATTACTAGTAACCGACGACCCTAGAGCACGTAATAAAAAATACAATATTATTTCACCGTTTTTTATTTCTTTAAATGCGTAGAAAAATATTTTTAGATTATATTAAAATAAAATTTTATAACGTTTATAATAATAAAATATACTATAACGTTATAATATTATACATAGTATTTTTTTTTTACTTTCAAGAGGCTTAGTTCCACAAGTCTCTCCAGATAGCAACCATTTACTTAATAGTTGTTGCAGTGTACCGTTGATGTTTGATAAAAATCTTTATTGGTTGAATTTTTATGACTACCTCCATTGCGACCACTTCGAAACACTGTATTCGATATTGAATTTTAAACATAATTAGCTCGTATTCGACTTTATCATGTGAAAATGATTATACTCTAAACGAAGAAGAATGAACATCAGGTAAATCGTATAATACACAAATTGATCGTTCTTATAAGTATTGAGTGAGCAAAACACAAATAATTTAAACTTTGTTATCTAAATACACGGTAAATCGAGTACATTAATCGTGTGCGTTATTGACTATGTTTTGATATTATGTTGTTTAATTTAAATTTATTATTATTATTTAATTACCTATTGTAATGTAAATATAACTCTTATCCAGCCGTAAGGTGTTTGGTTGTCGACCGTTAGAGTACATGTCGTCCGTCATGAACGTTTCTGCTGCCGCTGTTGCTTTTCGCCTTATCGGCGTTACACATTCACTTCGCACGCTCACGCCATGTCGCACACGTCTTTGGTTGCCGTTCCGCGTCGCTGTCAACCGGTCGGTCTTTATTTACTTTAAGATATTTCTCAATAACATTGGAAAAAAAAAGAAAGAAGAAAAAAACGGGACTGAAGGAAATACGACGTTGATAACGAGTGAGCACACTTTTATGTATTTAATAAAAGCCTGTAAAGATATTAAATTATTCACCTTCACATTCCGTATACATTTTGCTATTTATGCACGGTGAATGTGTACATAAAGTGATGGATTATTATATTATAGAAGTATTAGTTTTTGTTCCTTAAATTTTATCAATTTAATGCTATTCAAATGTTAATCTGACTAATGAAATGTTAGTGGAGACTAGCCCTTTTAAGAATTTTTTTTATTAACCTGTGCTAGGTTACATAAAATCGCAGCCTATATTGTAGAATTTGTTTAATGTAATAAATAATTATAATAATTTACCTGGTCGAGGAACTTTTTGTATTTAACTCCTAAAACATACAATCTTTGACTGACATAGATGTATATTACTTGAATTAAAATAATCTGCTTAAGTGACATTTTTTAATGTAAAAATGCCTTCATAACTTGAAAAGGATGTATCTATATGCTAACAACTTTAAGCTAGTTTCCTCAGTTTTGTTTTTGTCAAAAAAAAAAACTAAATTTTCAAACAGTTTTATTCTAATGATTGTTGATTTTTTAGGAGTTAAGACATTTTATTATTCAGAAAATTTAATTTCTTTATACACTTAAATCTTAATAGTTTATGTCCTACAAATACATAGAGAGTGATCAGTTTATCTGAAACGACTTGATTACTCGCAAAAATAATTTTTGGTTTTTTTAGTTAAGTTTGTTCTTTTATTTATCAGCTATTAATTACTTTTTAGAATCATCCCTTATTTGATAGAACATTTTTGGTCGAAAACAACTTATGGATCAGTCATTCGTAAGTTATTAGCATTTAAAAATATTAACTGAAGCCCAGTTTCTGTTATTTTTATCATTAGACATTTCTTAACCGCATTCCTCTTACCGCCTAGGTATAAAAATGGAGATAATATGTAACTAAAAGTAACTAAATATTTATTTTCAATATTGTATCATTTTGCGAGTAATCTCAAGTGATTTATAATTAACCAATCATTTTTTATACGTTGGGATTAGATCTAAAGTCAATTTTTGGATGAAATAAGTTTCACAAGGAAATTAATTTTAAAATTCAACACTTTCTATGATAAAAACGTCTTAAATTAAATTATTTTATGATATTTATATTAGAATTTTCAAATTACACATAAGCATAAGTGTAATTACATATTACTCTCTTGTGAAAATTATTAGTGATCACTGGTCGATTTAATAAATTTGGAAAAACCTAATAACCAAATTTTTTTTTAATATATTAAATTATAATAACAATTAAATATAAACTAGATTTGAATAAGTATACCATATATTTATTTGAATTTATTTAAAGGCGGCCTACTTAGTTAAATCGGAATCGCTCAATACCTCCAACCAGAATCGGTTCGATTCTGTTACCCTGAACTATGTAGGATTTGCCATTCTCTTTAAAATAACCATAGCTCTTCAAAGAGAACATTAAAGATCAACAAAATAATAAAAATAATATAGATAATAACTCCAATATGAAAAAGATTATATATAGCGTTATAAGATTTTCAAAAAAATTTTCTTTAATGTAATTATTAATTGGAACTATTTGGTCAAATAAAATTTGACCGAATAGTGTCGCTGAATTATCGAATATAAATTACTTCTTATATATTAGTCAAATACGACGAATACCAAATAGTTTCCGATTATTCGGCCCATTCCTAAAAATTATTTTATTTAATCCTAATTGTATATAATTCTTCTTTGTACAGGTTAAAATGGGAGATTTAAAAAAATTATGATACATATTTAATCTAATGGTAGATAAGGTTAATCCATAGATTAGGTAATTTAAATTATTCACTTAATGTAAAATCTTAATTATACATAAACGGATTTCAATATATCGATTATTTGTTTTATTAGTTAACAATAGTCTGTAATCTGTTTATAAAAATTTGTTAAACATTTTATAATATTCTTAAGTTACCTCATTTGTGCCATATACATTGATCAATAACCACGGAAAAACTGCTCAATGTCCATTGTAACACGTAAATAATGTTTAACATCGCAAACGTCAACAGAACAAAGAAATAAGACTTTTTAAACAGTAGATAGATTTATCTAACTTTTTTTCATAGATATAAATTGAAGAAGACACCTACCACAAAATAATTTTGAATTTGAAGAAATATATACTTTCGTTTCTATTCTAATTTAATTAGCTTGTGGCTTAAACTTTGATATTTTTGGATTGTTAAATATTATTATCTAAAATTTAAATATTACTGGATATAGTAAAATGTAAAAAAATTCTCAATCATTTATACTCCATTTAAACCAATTTACTCGATGAGTAAAAAACCGTTTTAAAAACACTTTCTTATCATGAAAAAAGTTTCCCTAAAGGTTGTATGATATTAAATTATTTAATATCATAATTCATGTTAATTGAATATTTAATTTGAATATAAAATTGTGTGAAGTAAAAATTGTTGTGTAATATTGACAAATGCTTGCTATTATTTTTTAATCTTGCATCATTGAGTAAATTTGATCTTCGATCTAATTAATGTCATTTTTTTTCTTTAAAAATTGACTCTATTGTGAGAAAATTGTTAAACAAAGAATTGTTGATAATTATATTTATAATTATCTTAAATACTCTTTTAGTTATCTTACCCCCTTATAAACGACGTGAATGAATGTTGATAACTAATAAACCTTTCATTAATGAACAAAAAAAGAGGTCATGAAGATAACGTATTTTTTAAATATGTAATCCCATAATTAAATTGCTTGTTTTCAGTAAAACTCTGTAAAAGTTATCGCCAGATTTACTTCTCGAGTTGTGGGACTAAAAAATTTATTTTTTCTATGTAAAATTTTAAATAATTATATATTTGCGTGATAAAGTTAAAGAAAAACTCACCCCTATAATAACAACAAGTATATCAATATTTATATGAATAAACAAATAATATATACCTTAATATATAAACTATTTAAACCTGAAAACATGGGAAACTCTATAACGAAAATAGATAAGAGCTTTTTATACAACCATAAATATATGTAGATATATATTTTATACTTATAAAAAATGTAATTTAAAAAATTAATTTTATTCAAAACAAATCAAACGAAATATTTGGTTTAGGATGAAATTTATGTTATCAAGGGGAATTTTATTAACGAACATTATATTGATAACTTAATGTTATAATGTTAATGTTGCTAAGACTATAAATATCTTCGTTTTTAGTATTTAAAATGTTTTTTTTAATTATTACATGAAGTTAATCATCATTACATAATGATTTAGTTTAAAAATTAAAATATGATAAGTGTACAAGTTCATATGTGCAGAATACGTCTGTATTAAATGTCTGTTTAATTTCTATTATTTCAACAGTGTATAACATTTCTAGGATATTTATCCTACTTACAGTACTTGTTGTACTCCGCTATATATCACTGTTTTAATTTATTATTAAAAAAAGCAAAGTGTGACATTAATGCGATCAGAATATGTATGCGTTTATTTTCTATTTCATTAAGCTCAACTTATTAATCATATTAAATTAAGTACTAGTAATCCCTTGTAATCTATCAAATCGATCCATTAATGTGATTTTGTATGTATATATTTATAGCTAATTATCAATCTATAAAGACTTCAAATGATAACTTTATGAATTAAGTATATTTTTAACTTATTAAACATTGTTTAGGAGTTCATACTATCCAAATATCTCATGATAATAGTAAAAAACTTTTAATTTAAATTTTTTTCAAAATTTATAATTTGTGCTAAATTTCCATAGGATAAATATCCAAAACGATTAAAATGTCTTAAATGAAATCATAAACAATGATCTTAATTTTATTTCAGTAATTTTTCTATGAATTCCAAAGTACTGACTTTAATTTCTATATTTGAATCGTAATTATAACTTTTGCTGTGTCTGGTATAAATTTCTATAAAATTGTTAATAAAAGATATTTAGCTTATTAAAAGCATAAATCAATACTTTTGTATTTTAAATTTGTATTATTTACACCACAAAAAGTATGTAATAGTGTGAAGAATATTATTTTTAATAAACTACGTTGTATAAAGCAAGGTTAGTTAATCAATTAAAATTAACAAAGATAAAATCATTGCTTTTTTCTAGCAAACTAATTTGTAAATTAAAAAGTTTGACTATATTTTATTTTTAATTTAGTTACTATGCATTACTTTATACAAATTTTTTTTTTAAACATATACTATTTAACATAAGCTTTAATTTGACATATATTTAAAGCTCTAAGTATTTCCGAAACATTTTCAACATTTATATTGAAAATGTTAAATTTTTGTGTAAAAGTTGTTATTTTGAAACCCCCCTAAGGGCAGGTAAAGGGTCAGATTTTCGAAAAATTTATATCAAATGAAATGGAAATACCTACGTCTTTAATATAAAAGAAAATTATTTTGATTTGTTCAATTTTCAAAAAATTATGACAATTTTAAGAAAAAACTATCAAAATTTATCGATTTTAAAATTGTAATTTTTTTGGAGATTAGTCCCATTTTCAGTGGACGAGAGAATTGTTTTCAATTTTTANTGATAATTTTTATTCCATTAATAGATTTAGAAAATACTAGTGGATTAAATCTAAAAATATCTCAAGTTATTGGTTTATAACATATATTTTATGATAAAATTTATTGTTAAGAAAAACTAGTGACAGACACAAAAAAAAAAAAAAAAAAATAACATATCATAGTAAAATTAATATCTTCTCAGACTATGGTATACTAACCAAATCAGACAATGATATTAATATCAGACAAATATAGATAATAGCTATATATCTCATAACGATAGTCTAATATTTTCAAATTACTTTTTATTATGAAGGAATAATTTTTGTTTTGTTAAAAGATTTTATCATAATATATTGGTTTTATTAAATGGATGAAATGGGTTTTTTAATAGTATTATAATAATAATAGTATTATAGTTTCAGTGTTTTGGTTTTAAATAATAATAAAAAAAAAATTATAAGTACTGTTTATATTTTTTTATTGCTTTGTCATAACTGAAAATAAATTTTCTTTTTTTAGCTTCGATGCGAAGCGGAGAAGGTATTAATTTTACTATGATGTGTTTTTTTTTTTTTTTATGTCTGTTGCCACTTTTTCTCAGCTCTCACTGGACCGATTTCTTTCAAAAATACGTCAAAAGATCACAAATCGTATCTAGTTGAAGACATTACCCTTAAAAATTGAAAAAAATTCCCTCGTTCCCCGCAAATGGGGGAAATATCCAAAAAAATTACAAATTTAAAAATCGCTAATTTTCGAAATTTTTTCACTTTTTTTTCTTAAAACTTCCATAACTTTTTGAAAAATCAACAAATCAACATAATTTTTTTTTATACTAAAACCTTAGATATTTACCTTTCATTTGATATCATTTTTTTGAAAATCTATCACTTAACCTGCTCATTGGGGGGGATTTAAAATGGCAACTTTTTTACAAAAATTAATTTTTTCAACTTAATTTTTGAAAATGTTCCGGAAAGACTGCGTCCTTTAAACATATATCAAATTAAAGCTTATTTTATGTACTACAAAATGAAAAAAAAAAATTTGTCCCGACACTTTTTTTTCTACATTTAAACGGCTGCCGTAGTTAAAAAAACACTATTTTTGTGTTAAAATTTTCGATTTTCGATTTTAAATTTTCAACTTAAAAATGCTATAACTTTTTGAAAAATGTATATATCAGCACAAATTTTTTTTTTCTAAATACATTATAAGTACATCTTTCA